CTGATTATGTGAAGGGTGTCAAAGAAGGACCATTCCAAGCCAAAAAAGTCACTTCCTGTTCTGAGGGGGCGGGGCTTTGATGACGTCACAATATGACCTCAGGGTATCGTCGGGCATGGGACAGGGATGACTCGTGCCAAATTTGGTGCAAATCTGTCATTCAAGTTGAAAGTTATAACGTTTGGAAATTTATGGCGTGAAGCTCAACTTTGAGGCCTGGCCACGCCCCTTTAACAAAACGAAACCGAAAGCTTTTGATAACTTTTACTCTCCAATGTCTTAAGGGCCTAATAACCAAGTTTTAAGTCAATCCTTGAAAATCCCTAGGAGGAGTTCGTTAAAATTCGCCGTTAAAAACGTCCAAAAATTAACCTTTGACCCAAAATGGCCAACTTCCTCTTGGCTTTGGACCGGAGCGCCAAGAGACTTTTTCATAGGTCCTGAGAAGATACACATGTTCACCGAGTTTCAGATTTATCGGTCGAAAAATGGCTCGGGGCTGAGGTTTTAAAATATTCTAGGGGGCGCTAGAGAGGCTATTGCGCAATCATCGTGGTTTCCTGTTCAAGGGGCGGGCAATGATCGATCATAGTGATTTTCATGAACCTCGGATCAAATCTGTGGAATTCAGAGCCAAACGTATTGTAACGGCGTCACTTCTGACTTCGCCACGCCGCCACGCCCACATCCTCCAGGGGAAACGCTTTGCGCTTCAAAGCAAGTCAGACCAACTTGTTATCTGCCTTCTAACACAGGATCATCCTGATTGGGTGAAGAGTGTCAGGGAGGGAGCATTCCAAGCCAAAAAAGTCACTTCCTGTTCTGAGGGGGCGGGGCTTTGATGACGTCAAAATTTGACCTCAGGGTATCGTCGGGCATGGGACAGGGATGACTCGCGCCAAATTTGGTACAAATCTGTTTTTCAATGTGAAAGTTGTAGCGTTTGGAAATTTTTGGCGTGAAGCATAATTTTGAGGTCCGGCCCCGCCCCCTCAACATACGTCGGTTTGCACCGTTTTGATAACTTTAGGTCCCCCATGCCTACTGAGCAAAATGGCCAAGGTTTGAAACCGATTGAGCGAAATCCCTAGGAGGAGTTCGTTCAAATTCGCCGTGTACGAAAAGTGAAAAATGGCCAAAATTGACCCTTTGACCCAAAATGGCCGACTTCCTGTTTGGTTTAAGGCATACCTCCAAGAGACTTTTTTTCATGATTCAGTGGGTTGTACATGTGTACCAAATTTCAGCTCTCTAGGACTTACCAGTTGTCATATCTCACGTTAGGGGGCGCTGTAGAGCAGTTTGGCCACGCCCACTTTTGGTTCCATTATCATACTACTATTTCTCGCGGGGGACAATTTTGGGTCAAATATGGTGAGTTTTCGAATATGTTAAGGCCTCCAAATTAGCGCTCTTTGACGGAAAAAAATTTGAAACGACACAATAACAATAGGCCTTCGCAGCGCTTAGCTGCTCGGGCCTAAAAAGAGTGTTCTTGTGAAAAGAGGTATAGTTTCCATCACCTATCTAGAAGAATGTGGCTGAAAAAATCACTGGAGGAAAACCTGCATCCTTTGTGGCTGGACTACAATAAACCACCGGAGAGACACTGGATCCTAAGAACGATTGAAAACAGTGACAAAAATGTCAGGTATGATTTCAAGTATGAAGGACACAGAATATATGTTCATCTTCAGTATTACAATTTTCTCTAATTAACCCAAGCTCGGTGATGGAGGACTTTAAGGCTTTGTCTGGACTGTGTCTGATTTAAGGGCAATAAGATTGTGTCCCACCTCTTTTAACAAAACACCTTACATACTATAATACTGTCAACTCCTACATGTGTCCAGTTAACCACTTTTTTGTCTGTCCAAACAGGTCTCACTTGTAAATGAGTCTTCGAGGCTCAATGTGATTTATCTGTTTAAATAAAGGTTGAATGAATAATACTGTGTAGATACTAATACACCTCAGAGCTTTTCAGGTTGTTCATCACTTCACCATCTGAAGACAGTGAAGTATCTAAATATGCTAGCAGATGTAATCTGCAGCCACTTCTTCAGCTCGTCCTCCATCCCTCGTCCTCAGCAGGAAGCAGGTATGATTATATTGTCCAGCTTGAGCTCTGACAGGTGGTGTTCCTACATATTAAATCCAAAATGCTCAGATAAATTACATTAGATTGTACTGTTCACACATAAACAAACACCGGTTCTGGTCCACACCATAAGTTGCGCCCATAATCCACGCATGGCACCATGGGGCCTAGAAATAAGGTGGATAAGATAATCATCTGGCAGAAATACGAATGTGGTTGTGGGTGTCTTCAACAGGATGCTGTCTCAGCTGGACTGGATCGGATGGTGTGTCCACTGTCCCCAGGAGTGTCCAACCTGAAAATCCAATCAGAGAGGCCTAAAGGACCTCCCCAACTGCTTACACCAATCAGATAGTTGCACATTCTCAATATAACGGTGTAAAAGATGAGATGGTCATCTTCTCTGAATGGTGACATCAGCAACTCAGTGAATTACTCACATGTGGACTGTGGCCTCCTGAACAGAAGATGCACGAATATATGCATTTAACTTTCTACAATGTCAAATAAATGTATTTGAGTATCTCTAGGAATAAACGTACACGCTTTGACAGTCAAACACATTTTCGAGACAAAATCTAAAAATCTTATTTTTTGTGTGCATCAGAATTTTTTCCAGATGCTCTTGTAACCTCACAGTAACGTTACTTCACTCATGTTCCTGAGGGGAAAAATCAGCCAAATTGAAATACATTAAAAATAAGTTTATTCCCATTTTTATATCATACATCAGTAGGAGGTGCTCAGCTTTTGCATTTAAGACGGTAAACATCACCGACAGGTGGCTGCAAGTTTCCACCAGAAGCGGTATGTTCTCTCAACTAAAAGACCCTTGAGTTACACTTCTCATCTCGTCTGACAAAACTGTTCTTATTTTGTCTGAAACAAGCAAAACCAAACATGTTGCACAAGTGAACATTTAGTACTGAAAAGCTGTTCCACATGCATGCAGGCTGCAGAATGGGACGCTCCATCATAAGCATCAACATCATAAGCAGGTGCACCGTGCTCCTGAAGCTGGCTCGTACATTCAGGTCAGTATAAGTAAAAAATATATAATCATAAACTGGTGTTGAACGTGAGTTAAAACATAAAAAAAATAAAATAAAAAAAACTACTAAAAAACCCTCTGTCAGACCACACGTGCAAGACTGCCTAAAAACAAGGCCTCATTTTCAGCTACCAGATTTGGAGGGTCATCACAAAACTTTTTTTTTTCTTCTAATGGTCAAAATAAAAAAAAAGAAATTCAAAGGACCTTAAAGTATTTAAATGTAAAAGAGTCCATTTAAATTTGATATTTGTATTTGAGGTTGAGATGGCTCAGACTTATTGGTTTCATTTGTTCACACTTTATAAACTAGTTCCAAGTTGGACATGTTGGAACTTCCAACATGTCTTCACTCTAGATCAGGGGTCTGCAACCTGCGGCTCTGGAGCCACATGTGGCTCTTTGGTCCCTCTGCAGCAGCTCTTTCAAGCTTTGACCAAAACTGACATAAAACTGAATTTTATTGGTTGTTATACAAAAAAAATAGTTTTAGCAGTTTTCCTGTCATTTCTTTCGCTGAAACATGTACAAGGAAAATATCCTGATGCATGCTCAATAATCCAGGTAAAAAAAATCTAAAAAAGTTAAATCTGGTCCTCTGGACATTCAAAAAAACTAAACAAAGCAAATCAACAAAAAAATGTAGAAACGTTTCGTCTCTCATCCGAGAGACTTCCTCAGTCTGAGGTGCTGTTTTCAGCTCAGTCTTATAAATAGCACCTTCTCAGAGTGGATCAACCAGTTTTGCTGCTGACAACCAAAACCAGCTGCTCACATGCTCAAGAAGGACCATCAGCCTAACAATGGATCATTAGCAC